CGAACTTCAGCAGTATGTCGGTAAATTGAAAAAATTGTTCAAATGTGCAGAAAGTATGTCCTTTTAAAAAAAGATATAAAAAGTTATTGTAAAGGAATGTAAAACTGAGTTTAAGTGAAGTTTGTGATGTGAAAATTACAAACCCTAACTTCTTCCCAAATTACTTTTGACCAACCAACATTAGCTAGAGAACCATTAAAAGACAAGCATCACTGGAGAGCTGTTTCCTCCAAATTTCGGAGTCTCCAGGAGGGTATAGGAAAACAACCTCTTCAGTGGTCGAATCCGGGACCTTCAGACTCCAAGATGAGACTCTTGACCATTCGATCATCAGTGCACACTACAGCACCACCATCATTCAACACTACCAGGGAGTATCTGCGATCGTATATATATATATATATATATATGAATATTTGCACGCTATCTTTGCTCCATTCAGTAGCTGAATACTTATTATGTTTTGAATACTGTCGAAATACTTAATGTTCTAGGAATTCTTTAAAAGTAATTTTAATGTATCAGATAAACGTTCATGTTAATGCCTATTATGACCAATGCAATTTCAGTTAATCTGTACCTAATATGAATCTGTGAAATCAAAGTGAAACCACTTTATATTGTGTATTCAGTACTTCTCTGTTTATCGAAACTTTTCAAAGGAACCTTATGTATGAAGTTAGTTCCATCTTATTGAGTTTACCATCTTAACTAAATAACAACTAGATAAGCTATTGAATATTTTCGGTTTATATTTTGAGTTACCCTGTCCACTTGATCACTGATTCGATGATGGTTCACACCAGCTGACAGTTTAGAATTTCTCGTTATGGACAACACTTCATAGTCTGAATTCTATCAGTTACCAACACTATTCCACCGTGATCTATTCAAATAATTGATTGATTTCATTGGACTGAAATTTTCAGTAGCTACTGACATATCAAACACTTCTAGGATGTTTTGGTTGATGGTGGTCAATGGTAGAATTCAGGATATTCCTTTCATTCTACTTGAAACTTTTTAACTCGGTGTATTTAATTCTCCAGTGAGTGATTGTATTCCCTTAGAGACTTGAACGCATCATCCATCGTTTCGAATGAATATAGCTCCATTACTCATTATCATCAACCAACCTAATAACATCATTCCGATCCATTTAAGTATTATATTAGATAGTAATTTTAGTAAGTTTTTTTTAACTATTCGATTAAATCTCACCGTAGGAAAACAGAAACATTTAAAAAGTGAAAAAGTAAGTTTGTTTTCACTTTTTTTTAACGCCGACTATTTACTGTTAACACAACAAGATTTCAAAGAGAAAAGATGCCGTCAGTAAAAAACAAACATTTTTATTATATTTTGCACTGTCCAAAGTAGACATATATAAGTTACACACATTAAAACATTTAACACAGTTTACAATATTTAGTATCTTAAAATTGAGACTAATAAAGAGCATGCACATATTTTAAGGTGTTTATGCTCTTTCAGTGTTTGCTTTGAAAATTACTGAAGTTTAGTTAGTAATTTATGTCTTCCTACACATAAAACTTAGAGTAAAGAGATGGAAGCTTTAAAAATGAACAGTCTTCCACTCTGTATCTCTCTATGCATAAAGTTCCCTGTGTTACTACTGTTATACGGCGAACATCATTCAAATTGATTCAAGGTAATTAATACAAACGACGAGTAATTTTTTTTACAGTCTTACTAAACGCTATTAACTCTTGTCTCTGAACGTTCAGTTTTTCAAATACTGTTTTATTAATACGAATATCTTAACAGAAAACAGATGACCAGCTCATTTTGCCTGTTTTTAAAAGCAACATGTACGGAGCAGCAGTAGGACTTTGATGGGGAGATTACAAGTTGATAACTTAACTAATACTGGATAATCAAATTTTTTCTATGTACAAAAGACATTAAAGCCTCGAATAGGATGCAGTCTAGTTAATTTGTTATTTTTTCAGCTTGATATATCCTTTTTAGGGGGGGAAAAAAGTCTAGAAATGAAACGTTTGCAGAATTTACACTAGAAAAAATGTAACTATAGGCTAGTGTTAGTCTACTTTTATGATCACTTTGTCAGGAGGAATCTGTACTACTGATGAAAAGTACATAAAACTGAAAAAATTCACACTGATAACTTTCGCATTTCTTAGTATCCACCTAAAGTGCTTTTATGTAATCCCCTCTAAAATGTGATTTCCATTTATGATTTGAAGCTCTTCCAGTAACTTTGGACTCTCGCCGACCATGCACATGGTCCGAGATTCGATCCCCTGCCGACGCACACCTGGTATCTATGGTCAGCCTGCAAAATTTGGGCTACCGATATCCATGCTGAAAGTTTCATACTTGTACCAAAAATACGGTGTGGAATCAAGCTGTAATAAAAAATAAATGAATAAATAAAATTTAAAAAAATCAGAGACTGCATTAGTAAGCTGTCGATCGGTTATGCATTATAGTCATCAGAGATGAACATTATTATTCTTAGTTCTGTGGTACACTTATGTTTGATATCGAACGCTAATCGACTCCAAGATACAAAGAGAAAAGACATTCCAATCTCAATGCAACACAAATTTATGTTAGTGTATTCTGTTGCCTTGGACGTTTTGTAATACTAGGCAACTCTGGCTCAGAATAAGAGCTTTTCTCTTGAATAAAATAGTCATATTTGAAGTGTAATGCACTCGTCTTGTGTCACTTAATTCTAGTGCTGCTACTAACTGAATTTCGATGAAGTGTCGTCTGACATCACATAGTCATCAAGAGGCAATATTCTGATGTAGTTTTGTTCTCTGATCTGCATGGTTTATTTGCGAAGCTTTCATTGCCGTACTAGGTGACATCTTCAGCGCATGGTTCAATTTAAAGTGAGCTTTTACATGTCTCCAAGAGTTTATTAGTCACCTCTCGTGGTGACTTTAAGCGTGATTGATTGTTTTTGTATGTTTTCATACCCTCTATTGGTATGATTGTTTCCGTGACCTGAAGTTTGACCCTGTGTGTGTGAGATTTTCTTTTTTTTGATTTACAGTAGCATTCAATAAAAAATAGTTTTATTTCATGCCGCTAGTAAAGCTTTTCTAGGCTCCTTACCCTTCATTTATAAATCTCACTAACATGTGATCACCCCATTATTTTGGGATGTCTGAGTTTCAGCGTAAGATGTTGCATGAAAATACACTATGTAACAGAGGTTAAGAAAAAAATTCAAAATAACTATGATGAATAGAAATATATGGAAGAAATAATAAATAAATATAAAAATATAATGAATAATTAGATCTGGGAGGTTACAAAGAACGAATGCATCTGGTCCACTGACAATGAATCTGATCCATATCACCAACAACCTTAGGTTACTTGTTATTAGCGTCCCAATGACACCTACGTGGCTGGTTCACAATAACTGTCAGTGATTTCATGAACTGATGACAGGTTTTGATTTGACCACCCTCAACTTTTTCCAACCTAATCCTATGTCATCTAACACTGCTGATCGAGGAGGTGATGGCTTGGTATACACGACATTTTTCCTAGCTATCTCGATCGATGTGGATTCAGAACATCAGAGATCGATTTCACTTCCTTGCTCAGTACTCTAGGACTAACTTTATTATTACTCACCATACTACACTCCACAACACATTTGAAGTCAAACAGGTAGCATATTCATTTATTCCAAATTCAATGACCATATCCTGCAACCATGAAGAAATACACATAAAATTGTTGTGGAGCGCAAACATCCTCTAATCGATATCCAAATATCATGTGCACACAAGGGATGACGTTAATTGGATATGCCGTACAAGCCATTTGAATTCATACTCACAATTTGTCAGCAATTAGTTGATTGAGACTGACGCAGCTTCTGAGATAAGTGAAAAAGTCAACACGCTCAACCACTTCACTCCTCAGTCAGTAAACACAGGTCATACAGCATCATCTTACATTAGATAGAGGCAAAACGCATGCTGAACACTTTCAGATTTCTGCTACAAATGTTCGAAAGACACTGCATTCCACGAGTTTTTACCTATTTATTTATTTAAACGCACAAAAACTTGGTACAATATGGCACCAAGAAGGATGGGCCACACAATAACAATAAAACAACATAGATCAAAAGAAAAAAAGAAAGAAGAGAAATATATATATAAGTAGAGAACGGAAAAAGAACTTCATCTACTTCATGCTTAACAAGTTCAAACAATATTCGTTAACTATCATCGGGAAGGAAAGAAAGAAGGGAACTGCAACATGTGTAATAGCACGCGATAAGTTTCATTGATTGTTTGTTGCTTCATTCAATTCATTGTGTGAGGGCTGAGATACTGTCCGGGCGCCCAGACCGAAGCAGGTGGTTTTATCTAGGGACCACCCACCGAGCCTTTGACTTGGAGTCTAATCCGCAAGGCAGCGGAGCAGCGTCAGGAGCTGCATTCCCATGGTTTCCTGTGACCCATATGGGTTCATACGCCATTTGATCCGATTGGATACTGGAGCCCATGTACCCCATGGTAACTGCTTTTAGTTTAACCGCTATCCAAACAACCTTCCTGACATGGTAGGGCCCGCAGGGACAGAGTCCCAACCAGTTTAGCATGTTGGGTCATTACGGTATTCAAACCCGACCACCACGACAAGGTAGCAGTTGTCGGCCAGGTTTTTACCTTGAAGGATAGTATCATCTGTCTACGCTAAGTCGATAAGACTGCTGCCTGATAACAACCAATCAATCCCTAGGGTGTTAAATTCGATTGAGATCACATTTTTGAAATGGATTCACTTCAAGATTTGACGTATTTAATCCTAAAGCGAATCAAACTGATGAAAAGTTATAGTTAAAGTCATTATGAGATCTTTCCTATTCCTTGATTTTCAATGGTCTCTTAAACAATACCAAATATTTAATTAATTTTTCTGATATTAAAACCATTTGATACCATTTATTTATCACCCCCCTTTTTTTCAAATTCTAGATCTTGTTCAAAAAAATATTGCAATAAAATTTTTGGAAAATGGTTTTAACGATTTTTCACAGATGATTATTTTGCCAAAGATAGCATCAATTTATTTAGTTAAAAAACGGTAAGTTAATGTCAACATAAATTTCTGTAGGAATTTTTGCTTTTTCTCTTTTCACCTTTCAACATTGTTGAAGTACAGAAGTGACACACACACACACACAGCTTGATAGATTTTTATAATTTTTTCTATTCTTTAAACATATTTTTAAGAGAAATAATGAATGAAACTCTTATAAGTAAATGAGTATTTACCCTACTTCTTTTCTTTCCGTGCGTTCCTAGCGAAACATTAGGCTTTCAGCTTTGAAGTTTTAGTAACGGTGGCGTTATTTTTGCACGTTGGAGTAGCTAGACTCGCGCACTACACTTCCAGTGCTACAGCATTACCATAGGATAGGCAACTACGCAAGGTAGGTGAGTGCGTCTACCAGAAACAGAATTATGATCACCTGCGAACCTGGCAAGAATTGAACCATTGGATCACTGACTCAGAAATCACACTGCAAAGAAGAGCTACTGAAAATTGCTTTAGGTCAGATCATTTAGAAGAGCTGAATGTATCATTCCATTACCTCTTTATCCTATGAAAAAAATTGTCTTTATCTTACAATATTTGTCGTAAACTGTGAAACAACAGTTATACTTGATGGTTTTGTGATCTGTCAGAGATGTAATGGATGATAACTGAAGGTAGATACCTAGGTTGTGAAGCATCCTTCTTCGAATTGGTAGCCTAATGTTCTACCAAGATGCTGATCAGGTCACCATTTCACTGCAGCCATCAAGAGTGATGCCAAGCTCTGGTGTCATAAAATAATACGCAACCGTACGCGTCTCAAATTTTCTTTAACCTGCAACTGTCATCTAATTACTCTGTCAATAGTAGATTAATTTGTTGATAAGTGCGACAGCTATAATTCAATGATATGCTTAGCATCGGGGTATATTAGCAAATGTGAAAGAACGCTGATCTCACAGGTCAGAGGTTACTTATTTTGATCCCACCTCAACGCATTATTTCGATTCATCTTCGACTTTTATACTATTTGCGATGCACAATCTAACCCAGAGTCCAAATGTGACTTACAAATCACACCCACGTGTATTACCGAATTGAAACTTCCCTCTTCTCCGCATTTGAACAAGGATGACTTTTAAAATGAAAAAAATACTATAGGTTACAAATATTTGTAAATCTGTCAGCAAAAAGTATTTGTGATATCATCCAGTGGATATCGTGTTTTATTTAACGCTTGTCAACTTAATGCACCTATATTAGTGTAATTGATCTTGTCTTTACTGAGAACTTTTTTCATCCACCTGCGCTCAGGGTGGAACATAAGGCTTTGAGGCTGAGGTATGAAGTCTCGTTAGCAGTGTTGTTTGTTCTTAAAGCGGAGTCGCCAGCCTCATACTCAGCACATACACAGTTTATTAGGGTCCATTAGGCAAGGCAAAGCCTAAGAGTGCGTCTGGCGGGAATTGACCTAGCATCTTTGTTTCCAGACGCTTATACTGTTTAGTTAACTCAGATGATGGCATTATTTTAATGATAAGTTTGATACTTCGCATAAGTTAGTCCAAACAAAACCATGAGTTTGTTTGCATTCTCAGTGGAACATGAGGCTCCAAGCTTTTGAGTTTTCAATAGTTTCGTCGTAGTTCTTATGAAAGACAGTTGTTAGCCTCACGCTGAACCTTCTTTTTTTCCCCAGGCTTGCTGTTGGTCTGTACACTCAGCTAGGTTAAGAAGTGTATAGATCGGTAGTCTAATCCAGACTGCATACGTGGGACCACCAAATGCACTGCGAGTAGCAGTGACATGAAAAACATCCTCAATCCAACCACTGGATAATATTACGCCACTTTCTTCGTAAGTGTTAATGTCTGTGTGAGCTTATGAATAGAAATACATCATGTTATTGATTATATAGTTCACGGAAGTTTTAAAACAGGTGTTCTTGCGAAACCAAATACTGACTTTGAGATGTACAACTCCATACTGTTTTCAATTCCCCTAAGCTATCGTTATGGAGCAGAAAAAGAACTTGAACTGACCAGCTCCATATTAACCAGATGTTAGTCAGCAATTTATGTAGCACAGTTTCTGGTCATTATACATAAATGCCAAACTAACTGCGTCAGGGAAATCATACACTTGAGCTGGAATGTTACTGCTTGGATTTGTTTTTCACTTAATAGTTGATTTCACTCACGTTGTGCAATTCTCACTTCTGTTTATAACTTATTTTGATTTTAAATAAGATTAAATTATGAATCTGCTACTGTATAATAAATGATATTCTGTAACACAGTGATCTCTTCCATATCCTTTTTATGGCTGTGGGACATGTTTTGATCATGATGTTTGCGTTCTATCTCCCTTATTAAGTTCCATAAATATGATGCGCAGTATTAACATTAGGCGAAGAATTTCAGGTAAGAATGGCAAGTCATTTGATGAGGTTATGAACGTACATCGCCTCAGATGACAGGACACGAGTCGTGCATGTCAAGCCACCACCTTCCTTGTTCAGCCATGTTGGTTGACATAGGTTTATTTTTTGGAAAAAGCTACGGGTGGTCAAATCAAAACCGAGTATAAGTCACTGAATTCTTACACTGTTGGTTTAAGTTATTCACGTGAAGAGGTGTAGACTGACTATTTGGAGTCCTGAAGGCGCTGAGAACCAGTAGCTAGTGATATGGTTCAAAACAGTTCTTATTATTGCAGGTGTATCCAGTCGTTATGATTTGCATGAACCACTAGATCTCCATCATTCTCTATGTAATTATTGTTTCTGCCATACGTTTTCGTCCATCATCATTATTTCGAAACTTTTTTCTTTTCTATACCTTTGTGTGTTATGTGGAGTGTGGTAACTTCAACCGGTGTACTTTTGCGGAAACTTCTGCGTTGAAACTCATTCACTTAGTTTGTCTGAGACATCAAATAGTGAAAATATGGTCTTTATCAAACAAAATGACTTTTGATGGCATTTTCTACTCAATTTGTGTGCAAGTTTTTTTCTTATATTAATAACAAGTGGCATAGTTGTTCATTGTGCGACGTGCTGACAGCCACTATTGAATCAACGACAAAATGGTAAAGGTAGATATAAACTATACGGTTGTCAGCTCTTTTTAAGGTAGAGTGTTTTTGAACTAGGGTTATTTAGAAGGCTGTGAAAATCAAGTACGTGTGGCATATTCTGCTTCCTGGCTTTCATTTCTCTGTTATGTTGACAACTAGTTAACATTGTCATTAGGTGTCATCACTGTTTTGGGCTACGAATTTAACAGTGGGTATACCAACTTGTGATTGTTATTTAACATTCCGATAACCCATAAGCCAAGTTCGTTTCGATATATCAAAAATAATGACTTATGTGATGCGTGTGAATAATGTTTTAATGATAGTGAGAACGGTTTTTTACTAAGGAAAATCATCTTTGCATGACACACCAACTCAACTGATTTCATGCACTACAGATTTTATTGTATTTTCTTTCATAGACTGTGCCTAAGAGATTTGTTTGAGTTTTGAATATACTAGAGCGGAAATTGATAGTGGATCATTTGCTTAGTAAATTCTACTATCAGAAAAGTGTATGGCAGAGAGTTTATATTTTTAAATCCACATAATATAAGCATCATCTGATGAAACCGATTCATGCAATGAATGCTAAATAAGTAACCAATCACATGCTGCATTTCAGAATATCCAATCACATGATACATCGTGAAATTGAGACAGAAAGCATGTATGCTACCTGATGTTTAGTAGTTCTCACGTTATTACTTTTGACAAATCAGTAGAAGATATTCCAAATAAAGGAGGAAAACTTGACTTTAAAATCAACATATTTAACCATTCGAGATACCATATGTCTCTTAACTCAAGAAATTACAATTCTTGTACAGATATCACAAGATATGCCCACTTCTTATAAGTAAACAGTCTTTACACAAACTGAATAAGACAGGTATCTGACATTGCAGTCTTGTTCGATGTACTTGTCCTCTGGAATATCAGTGACTCAAGTTGACAAGCTGTGTTGCTTATTCTACTTGTTACTTTGTGGACATTTGATGGATTTTGAGGTGGAATGGATCATGAACCGCTATCCGTTAGAGAATTAGGCTAGCAACAGACGACCTCTTTGTGCAAAGTTGGCAATCTTCACCAGTGAACAGCCACAACCCTACGAATGATAGAAACCAGCATCTTCAGGTTACGAGACGAAATGGTTCAGTCACTGAGCTGGAATTTTAATTATTACATTATTATTCAAATGGAGCTACAATAATACATCTACATTCAACTCTGTTCTCAGAAGTCTTCGTCAGCCAGCTCCACAATTTCTTAAAGGCTTTCATTTTTTTCCTCATATGCTGTCATTTAAATCACACTCGGAAATACTCTTATTTCGTGGGTCGCTGTTCGAGTTGTACTTGTGGTATGTATTGAGTACCATGTCACTCAATGTTCCCCTCAGAGTATAACTAGTCCATATCCATTTCCTCCTGCATATTTGGCTGGTGATAGGTTCTTGGTTGGTTTGTCACACTGCGAGTTTCTTGTTGCTTATCATTCCCAGCCATCTGATCTTCATTTGCTGATGAAAGTCCGCGAATGGCTACTGTGAATATCTTCAGTGATTTACTAGGTTTCTGACCCGTGTAGTAACATTGACTGACCTCACGTTAGAGTTTAAAACCCAAATCTTGTTCCTCATGTTGAGTGCAGTATATTTTCACGCTGATTTTAGACTAGTCAACGTCTATTTTGCTTTTCCAATTTTGACTAGCCTTGATGAACTCATCTGTGCCGCCTGTAGTTGGAACTACGGTACCTCGATAAGTAAAGGAAGTGATTTCATGTAAATATCTCCCATTTATAGTTGTCGATAGTTATTTCCATCACTTGGGGTCCTATTTTCGTCGCCTTTTCCACCAGTTTTTGGATTTTCACTTGTAGAACTTCTAGCCGGAACGAAAGATTTTCTATCTATTTTCACTGACAGTATTTGTTATATTCGTTTAATAATCCTCAGAGAG